ATTATAATTATAATATTACTTAATTTATTATTTTTTATTAACCGGAGTATAAAATCAATTGAATTTTTAATAAAATTCAGTGTTTGGTAGGTTATATTGTACAAAGAGAAAAAATCAGCCATTAAATGAAGCCCTCCCGCTAGTATCAGCAGTCCACTCTTAATACAATAACTATGATTTTTAAAATTACAAAATATTTTTTTTTCTAATATGGGTTATCTAAGGAGATAGTTTTTTTTATCCACTTCAAATTTTAAATTCAATTTTTTTAATTGAAAATTTCAAATTATTAGCCTTCTTAAAATACTTCTTTCAGGAGTTTTAACATGCTACAGAATGCAGGCTGTTGCTCCAAATGCTTCTGGGTCACCAATAACGTGCTTTCGTTTTCGAACCCAATTTTTTCAGAAGAAAAACATTTCGAGTCCAATTTGTGCCCTAATTTGTGCGTGGACCGAGTTTTATAATCTCACCTTACTTGTGTTTTTTTTTTTTTTTTTTAACAATGATCATGGGGTGGGTCGAAACCCACCAAAAAAGGGGGATGCACCTTTGATTGTGGCAGTTGTCATTAGGTCAGAAGGTCAGGTGCAATCTCACCTTATTTGTTGATCGCTCAAAAACCCATGAACAAAATTTTAGTACAGTAACAAGCCACAAACTAAGAAAGAAAGTAGGGTGAATAATGAGAAAACTCACTCTTTTAAATAGTAATTTAATTAATTAAAAGTAATATATTTTAAGTTAAAAATTTTAAATTAGGTGAAAAAAAATTTGAAACAATAAGAAAAGTGTTTCATTTTGTATAGTTCATATCAGACATAAAAAAAGAAAAAAAGAAAGAGAGAGATAATTGAAAAAATAATTCAAAATGAAGCAAAAATCGAGCTAGTTTTTTATATCGGTTGTAGGTTATTTCAACAATTTCAACATGGGTTGAAATTAACAAGGGTGAGAACAAGTACAATCCACAGGTCGAGTACATTTCCCCACAGCATTAGGTCCGTATACATTTTTACACGCTATAGTACACTGCTCTGGGACACACCCAACTACAGTATTCAGTATGTCTTCGCAGGTCTTGGCACTCGCCACCATGGGCCCATTTCCTACACCATAACTCATATTATTTTGTTAGTATGTGAAGAATCATCAAGTTAACTTTCCTAAATATATCATAACAATTAGGAAGAGAAGATGAGAATTTACCAAAAGCAACAAAGACAACAATTAGAAAGAGATGATGAGAATTTACCAAAAGCAACAAAGACGACAATAACAAGAAGGACAAAGGCAGAGAATTTCCTCATTTTAGCTAATGTCTTTCTCCCTGGTATGTTCTTGCAAGAAGAATTTGAAGCAGATGTTACTGATTCATCTTGTATTGGACCATTAATATACATACAACCTCTAATACTCCTATACAAGGACATTTCCTTAACAAGGCAAATTATTAAGGGAAAATAAATTAATTGTGATTTGACCAAAGCACTTATTTGTCCACTAGACATCTTTTCTTTCTATGGTCAATATCCTAAATTAATTTTTTTTCTTGTCAACACTTTGTATAATTTGAAATCTATAAAAAAAATGCAAAAATTAATGGTTAAACCCTCTCTTTGTACTAAAAATTAATGATCAAATCTATTATTTGCACCTTTACTTTGTTAATAATTTGGGGTTTTTTTTTATAGATTTTAAATTATGAAGGATGTTGCCCAAGAGAAAAATTAGTTTAGGGTGTTAATCATGGAAAGAAAAAATGTTTAGTGTGCAAACAAGGGTTTGATCTTGTGAATTTGATTTTTTTTTTTTGGGTAAATAATCTTGTGAATTTGAATTTTTTTTTGGGTAAATAATCTTGTAAATTTATTTATTTATTTATTTTCGTAAATAATCTTGTGAATTTGATGAAATCCCAATTTAAAGTCTTACACAAGTAGGCTAAAATATGCATTTAGCCTTCATCTTAATAAATTTGAAGGTTTAAACCCATTATTTTGCACTATGAAGTTTTTAGCCTCTAGACTTGAAGATTTAAAAAGTTTAGCCCTTAAACTAATGGAATCCGATAACTCTCCATTAAAATAAAAACAAAATATTTACAAAATCAAAATTTAAAGATTAAAATATAACAACTTAGTTCTACAGTTTAAAATTTAAAAAAATTAATAAATTAAAAATAATTACGAGATATCTTTGCCACATACATGAGAATAATGTTAAATATCTACAATCAAATCGAGTGATTAACTCAATTTAAAGAAAGAAATCTCACTAAAATTAAAGTAAATTTTTTGACTGTATTTTTCTAGTTTTTTGGGTTTTTTGTTTTAATTTAGTTAAGAAATTTTTTCTAATCTCAATCAGAATTATTTTTTCAAATTGAACTAATCATTCAATTTAATTATAAATATTTAATATTATTTTCAAGTATATGGTAAAAACATCTACTAATTATTTTTAATTTATTAATTTTTTTAATTTTAAACTTTTGGAACTAAATTGTTATATC